AGTGAAGATTAAAGGTCACGTTTCTTTTCAGCGAGGCTATCATCATAATAATAATCAATACCGTGTATATTTCTAACTCAGATTCTTACATGGGCAGTGTTTCTTTCAGACTTTTGGTTTTTTTTTTAGAGGGGCAGGGGGATTTTCCGATTGGGAGGGGGGGGGGCAGACAGGTGTAAAAGTATATATATTTTTCTATATAAATTCAATTTCATTCGGGGAATCAGAGTTTCTTCCAGGCATCTCTTCTCTTTTACCGCCCCCCCCCCCCCGAACGAAATGAAATTTAGATAATTTATATAGAAAATATATACTTTTAACAGTGTCCGCCCCCCCCCCCCCGAAGAAAGTCTACCGCCCCCTTCCCCGAAAATTTCAAGTGCCCCCCCCCCCCCCTTCCGGAGAAAAAAGTCTGGAAGAAACACTGCGGGGAATGGAGGTGGGCGGTTTCTCTCTCTCTCTCCCCCCCCCCCCCCCGAAAAGACGCCTGAAAGAAACACTGTTCATCAGTTGTTGAATCATCGGATGACAATGATCACAATGTTCGTCTGTTTTGAGATAATAGGAGTGGGCCTATTGTAAACTCGTACTTCCGTTAAAAAAATACTCTCTTATTTTGTTTATACGTAGGAATTGGCTACTCCTTGGTTGTTTTTATTTTGACCGTTAGTGACCTATTTTTCAATGAGTGCGACAGAACTAGCGTCGTAGCGATATTAAAAATAGATTGTGTTTTTCAACTTATATAACTAGGTGAATACGTCATGCGTGAATGGTCTTATCATGTTTTCAACAATTTTGTAGCCAGTGGGTCCCACGTTTTAGTCTACAACGCCTTCTGATAAAAAAAAAATAAATTTGGTAGGCTTATATCGAATTCTCTTTCTTTGTAATGAATGCTAAGTAATGTATAATGGTAATATTAACCTTGAAATTCTTTACCCACTTTACCTACCTTTCACTGAAGATTCACATTTTTATAGAATGTCCGACTTTGTCTTGCTGTTCTATAAAGGGTAACTGGCAAAATATTGAGAAGATTATTCTCTGTAGAAAATGTCCTAACATCCCTAGACCTAACCCAATACCTAAATCAAAGCCAAGCCACACTCGTATTTACTAACCCTCGGCCTAATCCTAACATTTCCCCGTATCCTAGACTTAGCCCTAGCCCAGCGATAACTCTAACCCGTAGATTACCTTAAGATTATTGGCACGTTTGTAATCGCCAGGGGGAATAACCTAATCCACTTTATTTTATTTTTGTGAGCGTGTTTGCACATAATATATGGATAATTGACAGGGGGGGGAGGAGTAGAGTCTAGCTGTATTGTAAGAGGGGGAGCTTGTTCTTCCGACCCACTCATATGAAGAATGTAAAAGGTACATATCATAATCAGTCTTTCTTCCAGGCATCTCTTCGCCCCCCCCCCCACCCCGGAGAGAGGCCACCATCCACGACGAAATGAAATTTTATATAGAAAATACATACTTTTAACAGTTTCCGCCCCCTCCCGAAAATTTCAGTGCCCCCCCCCCCCCCCCAAAAAAAAAAACTCTGGAAGAAACACTGACCATAATCCGGTTAGTAGAAAAATAATTGTCCTTTTTCTTGCAGGATCCTGCACGTCTTCTCAGCTGGATGGTATGCGCCTGTGACTCTTGGTAGTAAAGTTGATTTCTGTCTGGCACAGTCCATGTAAAGACGGTCAATTAAAGTTGACTTCTGAATAGTACAGCATATACAGGCCGTCAATGAAAGTTGACTTCTGACTAGTACAGTCCATATACAGGCCGTCAATGAAAGTTGACTTCTGACTAGTGCAGTCCATATACAGGCCGTCAATGAAAGTTGACTTCTGACTAGTGCAGTCCATATACAGGCCGTCAATGAAAGTTGACTTCTGACTAATGCAGTCCATATACAGGCCGTCAATGAAAGTTGACTTCTGACTAGTGCAGTCCATATACAGACCGTCAATTAAAGTTGACTTCTGACTAGTGCAGTCCATATACAGGCCGTCAAGGAGGGGGGGGGGGTGTAGCTGATGTGTGACGTCATTTGGGGGGGGGTGGCTTTTTGTGACGATGTGTGACGGAGAGGAGGTAAAATTGTCAAAAATTGGAAGATATAGCCTATTAATGCATGTTGCCATTAATGTTATTTCCATAAAATGCTAGATTGACATATATAGGCCAGGGGTAGGCAACATGCGGCTCGCGAGCCGCATGCGGCTCTTTTGATGTCAAGATGCCGCTCTCCAGCTCCATGCACAAATATTAGAAATTATTGTATTATTTTATTTTCAAAACCCATAACAAATTATATACTGTAATGAAACACGAGTTTAAACATAATAAAAACACTAATCAGCGAACAATGAGAATAGGTGGGAGTAGAGAGTATTCGGACAGCTGACAGCCGCTTGGGCACCAAGCCCAGCCCCACAGCCGACTTTTTCGAATATCGTTTAATGGAGAATGTTATTTTATTCAGAATGCATTTACCTATCTGTTAGTAATCATTAATTTGATCTGAGTGACGTAGTTTTTAGCTATTAGCTTCCTACGGTTGAGCCGGGTACTGGACTGTGGAGTACGAGTTAACACTGGGCTCTGTGGGTGGAAGATAAGGACAGAAGTGACCGATACACGGTAATCAAACCGATATCCATCCAAGCCAGTTAGTCGAAGTTAGCCGTGTTGAGGCCTGCCTGGCTAATGGGAGACACCTCCTGGGCCGATGATGTCCGTAAAGAAAAAAAAAGTTAAGAGCTTCTAAAGTGGATTGAAATAGTCCTATAGTTGTTTTTTTTATAACTAAGTAGAATCTATATCATATCAGAGCTAGCTAAAATAATTTAATATGTTTTGTGCGAAACATGTGTATGTTTTTATATGAATAAATATTATTTCACATTTAAAGCTACTTATTTTAAATTAAAAAATTAAACTTATTTGCCTAATCCAAATCAAATACCAGATATTGAAATAAAAATGTTAGTGGCTCTTTAAAAACTGGAAAATTATGTAGATCTAAATTGTAACTTTTGGCTCTTTCGTCTCAAAAGGTTGCCGACCCCTGATATAGGCCTACGTTCAAAACCAAATAATTTTGAAACCCCAGCAAAAGTTTTAATGAACGTTGCCTTACTTTTAGGGCCTGCTTAGTTTTCTACGCTGATTTTAAAAAAAGAAAGCCATGTAGACATGGAAACTGTTTCCTTCACATTAAATTAGAACCTTCACAAACATTTAAATAGGTTGAAGTAAATATATTTGATAAACTTATAAAAATTCTGCCGCAAACAGTATGTAGCCTAAACATGACATCTTTGAAAAAATGATTAAATAATGATTACGATTCAAGGTAGAGAACTATGTAACTTTTTACCTGTCTCATGTTAGTCTCCCTTTAGTTAAAAACTAATTTGTCTAAATATTTGCAGTGTTGTTATAACTATAACTTATTTCTAAAATCTAGGTAGATATAGTTGGTGTCCATTATAGGCGGGGGAGAAATGGTATTTCAATCACAAAATATTTATCACTAGCATTCATTTACAACAATCTTTAGACCTTACTTAAATGCATGTGTCTGATCATTAAAGCTCTACATTTAGTGTGTCTCCCATATGGTCTAGTGGTTAGGATTCCTGGCTTTCACCCAGGCGGCCCGGGTTCGATTCCCGGTATGGGAACTAAATTTTTACATTTTAAAAAATTTCACTAACTATATGAAATCAGATAATAGCCGATCTCGTTCCTGCTTCTACAATAATGGACACCAGCGAGAAAAGTCTCAAAGGTATTTGAGAGGTGTATAAATTCATTTAAAAATCATGCACAGCGTAGTTACAATTAATATGGTTATAAAATCCTGTCTATCTGGTTTTTTTCGGACTTTACTAAAGATTGGACGTATTTGATGTTTATAATATTTTCGGTAACTAAATAAAAATTAAAAAAAAAGCAAAAACAATTTGGTTTTCACGTGTAATGGCGACATAAACAATGGCATCCTGCTATTGGATAGGCCGCCATTGATTTTATTGTACACATTGTAAGCTAAAAATAGAAAACTAGGTCATGGGGTTTTAAATTTGCATGGTTATTTAAAAACTTGATCTGCAAAGTTTTGTAAACAAATAGTTATCGATCACTAAGTTACTGTACAGCTAATCAATATTTGTCTTACGAAAGTGAAACATCCGGTTATAACTTAGGCTTGATGAAAATAAATAGAAATGTAACCTTAAACTCAACAAATTATTTTCAAGTTCTCTGGATTTGCAACTTTTATAGCATTTATTCTAAAAATATAAAATTTCTAAATTAATTTTAGGCTTAAGTTTTTATTTTTTTTTACGGTCTAAATCTAAAAAGCACGTTTTTATTCCATGTCAACAACATTGGGGACGGAATCTCGTCAACTCGCTCGCCTCCATTAGCTACACCCAAGATCTTAAGTTTTGAAAAGATAAAATTAAAATAATAAATAAAAGCTTTAGCTTAGATTTAGAATTAGATTTTAGACGTCAGAGGTTTACAAAAAACGACACAAGTGTGGAAATATATTTTTCAATCTGATAAATAACGAGCAAATATCTCTTAAATAATAGAGGGCATTCAATTAGATCTAGACTATAATTATTATTCTGTTCTTTTTTAAAAATAGAATGAGTAAAAAGATCAGTTATCTTTTTAACAATACGGAAGAAGAGAAATGGGAATGCCCGTAAACCATCATGCCATATCGGCAGATTGGTGATGAAATTAAAACGTAGATTGTCTAGCTCACCAAGCAATAATAATAATTTAGGAATTTCAATCTCTAAAATTAAATTATTCTTAATTTTAAGATAGAAATATATTACCGCACTAGCTTAATTGTCAAAAAGAAAAAAAGTGTTGTTTTTTAAGTCAACTTATCTAAATCTAGAACACAAGTCGTAGTTCTACAGAGTATTTGGCAATATTATTAATTATGGTATCTGGCTAATGTTGACGATTATTTTTGTACCAAAACAATTTCTTTTCGAAGATCCACCACAAGTGTCCACTAGACTTAATTTATAATTATAGATTCTACCTAAAGAATATTGTTTTTTTACGCATTCGTTTTGTTATTGATATGCATGTCTTTCGTCCACTTACCTGTTTGCTCCCAGGCGCAGGTATTTTTTTGTATTTAATTAAATTAATTACCTCTTTAACTAGGCCTACCTACGACAGCCTACGTTATCGACGTAGTTAGTAGTTAGTACGTACGACCCACAACTCCAGTCCACACTCTACTACTAGATCTACTACTTACTAAACTACTTAGTACTTACTTAAATTAAATACTTAACTTACACTGACACTGACAGTCTGAGACTACACCCCCACACTGACACTGACTGAGTCGTCTGAGTCTAACACAACAACACACTCTAACAAGTCTAACTCTAACTAATAACTCACTACTATGTCTATGATGATGTTTTATGAGCTGAACTCTGACTAACTAAAGTAAAATTACTAAACTATCACTTAATTTAAAAAAAATTTATTAATTATTCATTACTATTCTCAACCATTCTTATTTTAATTTAACTGAACTTAACTATTTAGTATTTAACTTTACTTTAACTTATCAATGTTAGCCTCTAATTAATATAATATTTTTTTAGGCATATAATTATAATATAGTATTTATGTTCAGTCAGTTCAAGAATGACAAATTGAATTTATTGGCCTAACACATGCCTTCCACTTTTAATTTTAGGGCCCAAGATAGCTCTAATAATTCTTAACAGACCAATTGATGTACCTCTTCTTACACATTTATGGAAAAAGAGTATGTATGCAATATTTAGAAAAAGACTTAGGCCTATTTATGTATTTAACTTTCAGTTTAAGTCTACTCTATTTTCTATTTAAAGGATAATTTTTCATCCAGCTTTATTAATTATTACATTGGTTTTATTCATGCTGGACACATTTGCTATTTTCAGCTGTCTTCTTGTGTCCTTGAACTTGAACACATAAAAACATTCCTAATGTCAACACATGACAGATTTGTTTGTTGTTTTTGTGTATTTTACAGGTGCTTTTACAGCAGTGACTGACGGAGGTGTGAATCGGCTCCACAAAAGTTTTTGTGACCAGAAAGATGAATATTTACCAAATGTTATCACTGGTGACTTTGACTCAGCCAGCCCTGCTGTACTAGAGTACTACAAGAATAAGGTACCTGTAAATCACCGTGTGCTCAAATAGATAGGCCCTGGACTGAAGTAGAAAGGAGTTATAGTTAATAAAGAATTTTATGATGATGCTGTATTTTATGGTATTAATAGTAGTTATGTTACAAGTTTAATGTTTAGAATCAGGATGAAAAGCTGTATAAACTATATTGTAAAAAAATTTGATGGTTTTGTTTAATTTATCATCAGATATAAAGTATCAGAATATGTTGTTTTAGTGTGATTTAAAATATTGTATATTTCTTTCAAATAGTTTAAATCTTGTATCACTTCCAGATTATATTTTTTCATTAAGTAAAAAAATAAACACATTTTGTTGTGATATTAGTACATGAATTTGCTCTAGACAACCAACCTAGAGATATTGGTTTCTTTCAGAATGTTGACATAATATCAACTCCCGATCAAGATGAAACTGATTTTACTAAATGCTTGAGAGTTGTCACTGAGAGAGTTGATCAGAAAACTGTAAGATTTATTATTTAAACTAACTGAAGACGTATTTTTGGTTAAGTAAAAATGGATTACTGATGCTGCTTCTTGTTTGTTTCTTATTAAACTGGTATTCACTACGACAAAAATTCTATTGATAAGCTAAATACTTAAGTTAAGGCGTAATTTTAATATTTTTGTCTGCGTCAGATTGAGATGGTTGTAGCTATTGGTGCATTTGGAGGAAGGATGGATCACACGTTGGCCAACATCAACACACTGTACACAGCATTTAGTTTAGCACAAGTTCCCCTGCTTTTGTTATCAGATTCTTCACTGGCTCTTCTCTTGGACAAGGTTAGCATTTTTGTACTTTTAATCTCTTAACAATTCATACAGGCTGGCATGTCTTTAAATTTAAAAAGGATTGGCTTTAAAGATAATTCACAGTTCAGTATAAAAGTTGGGTTCTGGTAGTTTATTTGTATTTATTAATGTTTACCCAAATAAATTTTAATTAAGTATCAGGTGAAATAGATTTCATTAGTTTATAACACTATTATAGAGAAATGTATAGTGTATTAGTCTTCTTTAGTAGAGGTCAGTATTTATTATATAGGTTCATTAACTTGTAATAAACAAAATAATGAATCACTTTTGTGATGATTGTTTCTTACTACTATCTGTATTATAATTATTTTTTATAGTACTCCAAGATTACCTTTCACGTAAAGCATTTTAAAACTTAAGCTTTTAATCTCCAGATACACGAGGAAGTGGCTTGTTAGATAGTGGTTCATTTATTTGTAATTAACATTTTTACCAATGTCCGTCAGGGTGAACATACTTTACACTGTGACACTGGGCTGGAAGGAGATTGGTGTGGTTTAGTCCCCATTGGTCAGCCAGCTTTGAATGTTACAACCACAGGGTTGAAGTACAATCTCAGTAGGTACCTCTTTGCTATTTCCTTGTACAACGTAAACATTGTAATTAGTACATTTTACTATTGCATGCATTTACCCACATATAATTTTATTTTTACTTATCTTATTTTAAATAACTTTGATGGACCTCAATTGCTACGATTGTGACATCTTAAAGTCACACATCTGATAGTATTCTTAATGATGAAGTGTCTGCTGATGATGATCATCATCAATCCTGTGGACAACTTGTGGAGCACAAGGACGCAACCACACCTCTTCATCATACTCTGTTCAGTGCGACTACTCCCACATCATTCTGGCTGCTTCTGCTTTACTGACAGCTGACCTTTTCCATGTTTGTTTCTACCTTTCTGATAATGATGGTGATATGGAACGGACTGATGAACTTACCAATATTGACAATAAAATGATCTTAAGGGATAGGATTGATTTATAGTCCTTAAAGATTATTTTTTAAAATTTATTACTCTTGAGATAATCAACACGTTGATTAAAATTAATGGTTATATTAATCGTATCACAAAAGATTTTAACTCAAAGTTCAAAGCCAGTTGGTTCTAATGACTTCTACAAACTTGGTTAATTTGTTTGAGCTGCACAAATGGCTAAGCACCACGATGTAATCACTTTTGAAGAGTATGTACTGGTGTATCTATTATGGGCCTCATGCATTATTAACCTTCATATCTATGACTGCTTATGTAAGACTACATGTAAATATAGTGATTATGACCATTCATCTATAAAATTAATTCTAACCCAGAGTTTTTGGTGGGTAGTGGGACAAAAGAATATGTTTTTGCCAAAGATGTCCCATTTTTGTACTGATGTATAACCCAAGCATATATGGAATAGACTTATCTGATCAGCAAATTCAATATGTTGTGGCAGCAATTACTTGTTCAATTGATGTCTCTATGTGGCAGTCTCATCTTGAAAAATGCCTGGCCAAATGAATCTGCTGATTCTCCTGCGCTAGTCATCTAAAGTTCAGAATGGCTTTGTTGAATGATCAAACCACTCAGCACCCAAACACACCACAGCCAATAACAACAAGTTTCTGGCAGAGCAAGTCTATACAGCAGCCAGCAGATGCTGAATAAAATGAAGAACTTGATTGGAAAAAAATGGGATTAGGAATAACTAGGATGACAGCTGGTTTTCATTTGTGCCCGGTTCCCTTAAACAAAAGTGTACGCTAACTCATGGTCCATACAAAATAATTTTTGGCGAATAGCATTGTGGAAACAGCAAGCACTTTGTATTTCTAATTACTCAGCTATGGTTATATAATAAATGTATGTAAAAGTGCGCAATTTTTTTATACATAGTCTTTTTTTTTTAATATTTGTTTGGATATAGCTGTCACAACATTGATTTGGTTTAGTTAAAATTAAGTCGAAGTTGAATTAAGAGTTATTTCCCATTGATTAGTACAACTGTATTTGTTATCAGTGTTAGAGTTATATAATTTAACAAGATGGTTTTAATTTTTTTGCCTTATTTTGCTAAACCGACTTCTTAAAACTTTATCACATATTTGATTCTGATTATAATAATATCATATAGTGTACTATTATTATAGAAACATAGTTGTTTTTAGTGCATATGAAAACTTGTTTATACACTTTTTTTGTAGTTTTTTATTTTATTTTGATCTAGCCAATGATAAAATGAGTTTTGGCGAGCTGATCAGCACATCAAATACTCTGGCAGACAGCATTGTCACTGTAACAACAGACCAGCCATTGCTTTGGCTCATGGGATACAAAGATTTATAAGTTGTTTGTTTTTTTGCATGTGTGTGCGAAGACAAAGAAGGAATATTCAGAACAATATTTAGGAAAGTTTTTTTATTACTCTGTTTTAACTAAGCATTTTATTTTTATCCTTTTTTCTGTAAAATTAAATCAGATTGTAAAATCTAATCTATATTTTTTTAAAGAAAATAAAACTTAATCATTACCCTGATAGTGAGGGTAAACAAAGATCCAGTTTTCAATTTTAAAGTTTTTATAAAAGAATTTTTTTTTTAAATTTAATTTAATTTTAGTCTTATGTTGTGGATAAAATGATCAAGTTGATGTATTATTTTTTTACCAAAGAAAGAACATTTTTGTTTTCATAATTCTTAATTCTTTCCTAATTAGATTTACCAAGGTGTAAGTTTATAATTTTACAAGCAATTTAACAGTGAGACCAATGAAAAAAAATCTCAATTACACACTGCTTTTGTGTTGAATATCCCTAAATAGTATGTAACACCATTGAGCATCTGACCGCTTAACTGAAAGTTTTGAGGTTTTAGGATGGCACTAAGTCCTGACAACTGTAAATATTGAGTGTGTGACATTCCTATGTCTATAGGACATCAGTAAGTCCTGCCAACTCAGATGAGAACATAATTCAAGTCAGGTAGAGGCAGCTGATCATAATAATCTCTTCATGCTAAGATCACATAAACAGATTGAACTATACTTCGCCTGTAATCATTATGAACCATCAAATCTTAAAAGCTCTTTTTTTAATATAATTTTCATTATAACCTAATAATCAGCAAAGATACCTATCAATATTTGTGATTCATCATTTTTTTTTTACATTAATGTATTTCTATATGTTGTTTGCATTTAATAAAAAATGTTTGTGATATTTTATGTACCATGTTGACAACATCATGTCAATCTAAGTTTTAAGATTTTCTTCTAATCCTTTACATACCAAAGATTTGTGTTACTGTGACATTATTTTATAAAGCAATATTTTAATGACATTTGTATTTAATTATACTGAGGCAATACAGTTTTAACATAATCCACATACTATCAAAATTGATTTTAATGAATGATGAAGCCATTCTCATTATAGCATACCCTCAAACATCTGAAAGAATTTGAAATAGATGTATTCCTGTGTTCTTTTACCAAGTGAAAATTTTCTTCTGGAAAGATGACATGACTATTCTTGATATTTATTAAGTGCCTTTTTCACTCTGACTATAATCTCTGTTACAATCGGCTGTTTAACATTGATTAAAACTGCCCTTTTCATGTTGTGACTTCCATTCCACTGATCATTTTGAAACATTTTAAAATGTGACGCATGTGTGCGATCTTATTCTGAATAATATTAATGAGATCTACCTGTGAGTAGATACTGATTGACCAGGTAAGAGACAAAACTGCATGCCATTATATTCCAGGAGAAAAAGCATGCTACTTTTATAAGATCTGTACACAACAAGTTATTTGTAATACTTTACAAATTACTAAACAGATTTGGATTAAATTTATGTTTGACTGAATTAATATTACAAATAAAAATTAAGAAATCTTGATATTTTGTGTTGTGAATGTTCCTATTTAGTATATGTGTATTTTTGTTTGAATTTCTTTTTTAAATGAAGGCAACAGACCTATTGTCAACTATGAAACTATCTTAAAATCCTAATTCAGCCCTGAAAGGATACAACACTGTTTACATGATGTTATTTTGAATATGATCTATAATAATTATTATCCTAATAATAAACATATCACTATAGGGGACCCTGGTAAGTGGTTGTATAAATGATGTCCAGCAAGCCACACCTCCAGGTGATTGGCCTCACTGTTCCCCCTCCTATCCTCTAAATCTCTCACAGGTGACTGTAAAGTGACATGTCCCGGCAAAACATTTAAGTTAGTACACCAAACCATGGGGGGAGGGGGAGGAGAAGAAATGATGTTACCACTTAGCACACTGGGCCCTTACTGTTAAAGGTCACCAGTCAGGTTGGAAGATTTCCTAGAGAAACTACAACAACCACATGCTCATGGCGAAGGCGAGCCACCTCGATGGAAGGACACAGCTGTATTCAGACATGGAAAAGGACAACTGTACACTTGGTTCCATGGACATCAAAGACAGTCATTTGGTGACTGTGCAAGGTGGGAGAAGGTCAGGGAAACAGAGACATCATTAGGATTTTAACATACCGTTTCATGGTTGACAACAGGCCTTCATTTAAAAAAATTCAACCAAATATACACCTATACAAATAGGAACATTCCTCAAGGAATGGACTGGGATGCTGATTTCTGAATGAATATAAGCAGCAGTTGACAGAGAAAGATGGCAAAGCATTATGAAAAATTCAACAACTCTTCCTGGGTTATGGGATAGATCACTTGTAACGAAAATTGCGTCATAACAATTTTTAAAAAAAACCGAAACAAACAAAAAGTTTATAAAAGTTGTACACCAACATATATTTTACAAAATAAACATGACTTAATGTGAACATGTGAGATTGATGATTTTTTTTTTTAAATAAAAAAAAATTGATGATGTAGTGCTACATTTCCCCACATTCCGATATTGTCACAGGAATTTTTGGTTTATTGTTAGGCCCAACAGGAACATTCTCAATTTTCCTCAACACAAGATGACCATCTATTACCTTACCTGAAATTTCATAGGACACAAACAATTGTTATAAAATAAAATACAATATAATGTTTTTTGTGTGTTAATGACAACAAAATCTTTTAAATCCTTATACACTTTATACCAGATATTAATTTATTTAGTTACCAAGACAAATTAAACACACCATTTATAAGTGAGTACACTGTATATATTATTCATATGTGGAATGTAAATCACACATTCCCTTCATATACTACATCAGCTGAATGTCTTCATGTATTGAGCATCAAGGGACCAGAATGGATATACATGATGATTAAAGTTATAAAGGTAGGAAGTGATAGGAATGTTAAAACTAACTTTAATTAACCTTGACTGCAGCTGATGCTGTCCCACACTTACCAAAGACAACATGTTTCCCATCCAGGAACTCACACTTTGCACAGGTGATAAAAAACTGGCAGCCATTTGTATCTCTGCCACTGTTAGCCTACCACAAGAGATACATTAAGATAAATATTGCTAAATATTTACCAAGTGAAAGAAAACATGTTAAAACTATCTTCTATGGTAGAGAACATATGTAGTTACAACATAATTTAGACTTATTTCCCTTTTTAATTTTTCAGATTTATTAAATATTTCAACAACAGTTTAAAGCAATTTTTTTCACTATTATAACAAAATAATAATTGCTGTATATAATAGCAGAAGTAAAAACATGTTAGGTTATAATAAATTTATTAAAGAAAAACTCACCATAGACAACACACCAGCACACTCGTGTTTTCTTTTAAAATTTTCATCAGCAAACGGCCGACCAGCGTATATACTCGTCATACCTGTGCCATCACCCTGTCAGTATACTCAACTATGTCATCTTAGTAAAAAACAAACTTTACAACACATTACCTCAACTTTAGAATTATTAATGTCACCAAAACTTAAATAAAAAAAAAACAGAAGAAATAATGCTGCAATTAATTCAAAATCCATTAAAAACCATAAAAATGAATGTTAGATTTTAAAATTGTGTAAAAATATAATTGTTACAGATAGTATATAATAATATTTAAAATTTTACTATTTTCATTTTAAAAAGGAAAACTTACATTTACAAAGTCACCACCTTGAACCATGAAATCTTTAATGACTCTGAAAAACAGTTCGCAAGTATAAAAATTATCATCAACCACCAGTGAATTGTGTTTGTTTATGTTACGTAGAAACCACACATTAAGAAAATACATCTAATTAGATTTTACTTCTTTACCTGTGGAATATGGAACCTTTATAACCAAGTGGCTTTCCATCTTTTCTGTACTCTCCTGTACACAGTTGTCTGAAAAATAACCAGAAAAAATATGATATTTCTGGAGTAGAAATTTGTAAAGTTGTCTGAAACATAGAAGCAATCAGAAAAATATATATATTTCTGGAATAGAGATTTACATTGTAATATAGCCAGAAAGGATATATTTATAGAGATTAACACTGTATTATAACTAGATATGATATAATATTTCTGGAACAGAGATTTATATTAATTTTAATCCATTAAGTGATTTTTGATTCATCACAGTTGTAGATTTATGGGAACATTACTCCAGCAAACATAGCTATTCTAAACCTTAATATCCTCTTAGAGAAATAAATCACCATCAACATATATATCATTAGAAAATATTGAAAGCTGTTACTTAAAATTTTGAAAAGGGGTGGAAAAAAACATTAAAAAGCTCTAACAGAAAAAGGACTGTATTTTTAAAACATGACATTTTTTGAGGAGATATGTATTAAACAAAAATTACCTGAAATTCTCTGCTGTCTTTGGGACTACATCGGAAAACAATTCAAATTTGATTCTACCAGCAGCCTGAAATTTTTGTTCAGAGTTATGAAATTCAATAAACAATAACCAAAAAAAAATGATAAAGGAGTCATCCGGTTATTACCCAAAAACAAAAAGGAAGTTTAGACCTCCTGCCTATGCATGGTCATTTTGGATGAACAACCCATTGGCACCTAGATCTAGATCTACATTTATTTTAATGAGCATATGAATATTACATTATATAATTAATTAAGTCGAACCAGGGCCGTACCCAAGGGTCGAATTGAAATATAGTCCAAATCAGCTTCTAAATACTAAATAAATTTGAATCAAAAAAGAAAAAAAACGGAAAAGAGTAGGCCTAAAAAAAATACTAATAACTTAATTAACTACTAAAGGGAAAGTGACTTCAGCCTTTTTAAAATTGTTTTTTTTTTTAGTCTGAGTGTGATGAGTGAGTAAGAGTAAGACTCAGTCAGTGTACTGAGTGTACTGATTGATGAGCATGATGATCATCATCATTGATTGACATAAATTATTGATTCATCATGAAAAATGAATGATGATAATTAATAATTTTAATTTGATAATGATGGCACTCTCACCACCTATCACATCACAAGTCACAAGTAAATTTAATTTAGGGGCTCAATCTGCGTTCGAGACAAACATTTGGCGATTTGTTCTAGAAATAAAGATCTAGATTCTAGCATTATAGTATCGAGCTAAAATTTCCAAAAAAAAGTTCCTTACAGTGCTTCCAATCGCTATATCAAAGAAAACTATCGGATTTGGATGTTGTGTCATGTTGATGTAGAGAACGAAACTAGATCTAGATTTTGAAAATATTTCTTTAAATACCAGATTCAAACGTTAACTGGCCAAAAACACCTGTTTGGTTTTTTTTTTAATTTGGACAAAAGATATTTCGTGATAACAAGATAACCACTGTTATAATTTATGAATAATGAATTTCTTTCATCGAAATCAATCGACACCTATAAATAAAACAAATCAGACATTATATATTATATAACAGATATAGATCTAGATCTAACACTCTTTCGACTTATTTGATGTATCGGATAAAGAACTGTAAGGGTAGCAATTCATCTTTATAAAGCTTCATTTTAAAAGCAGAGTAGTCTTTCTTTAATTAAGCTAAACTTTACAATTTGTTTGCATTATAATATATATATATATATATATATATATATATATATATATATATATATATATATATATATATGCCTTTATGAGTAATCGTTAGTTTTTAATCTTGTTATCTTCTTAATTATTGAATTTAGTAATAGGAGACAGAGGCGTAGCGAAGGGGGGGGGGGGGGGAAGGGGGGTACATATGTCCCCGGGCGCCGACCTTTGGGGGGCGCCAAAATGGTTGGAAAAACAAATTAAAATTTCATTTTAGCTGCATTTTTGCTTTATAAATATAAAAAAAATATACGAGGTGTGTGCAAATCTAAAGTTTGAGGGGGTGGGGTGCAAATCGAAAGTTCGGGGGGGGGGGGGGGGTGCAAATCGAAAATTGAAAGGATGATCCCGAGGGGGCGCCAAATTGAAAGTTTGTCCCCGGGCGCCGGGAAGGGTCGCTACGCCTCTGATAGGAGACAAATGTATCTGGAAAATGAACGAAATCGCTACATTAGAAGTGGGTCTAAATTGTGTTACAAAATTTTCCACAAATGCACCAACAAACAAATCGACAGACATCTAAAAGCTTAAAAAATAATCAGCAACCATCAACTACCTTATTTGGTTTGGATATTCTTACGTTTATTTTATTTATTATACATTTCGTTCCACTGTGGTAACTGAAAACAGAAATAGAGTTCATGAAGTGAATGTGACCTTACGACTAATTACTCTTCGGACTATAACAATACTTTTTTTTAATCCATTCAAGATTTAAAAAGTGTAGTCAGTTTTATCTATGGGGAAAAAATCGTTAAGAACAGAATAAACAAGCGCGACCAACACGCAACTCAGAGACCAACATCAAACTTTATTCCATTTCAACTCACAGCCCTTCTCCCCCTCACCCCACCCTTCTCCCCTCACCCCACCCTTCTCCCCTCACACCCCGCCCTTCTCCCCTCACCCCACCCTTCTCCCCTCACACCCCGCCCTTCTCCCCTCACCCCGCCCTTCTCCCTTCTCCCCTCACCCCGCCCTTCTCCCCTCACCCCCGCCCTTCTCCCCTCACCCCGCCCTTCTCCCCTCACCCCGCCCTTCTCACCCCACCCTTCTCTCCTCACCCCGCCCTTCTCCCCTCACCCCCGCCCTTCTCCCCTCACCCCGCCCTTCTCCCCTCGCCCCACCCTTCTCGCCCCACCCTTCTCCCCTCACACCCCGCCCTTATCCTCTCACCCCCGCCCTTCCCCCCATCACCTCGCCCTTCTCCCCTCACACCCCGCCCTTATCCTCTCACCCCCGCCCTTCCCCCCTCACCTCGCCCTTCTCCCCTCACCCCCCCGCCCTTCCCCCCCTCACCCCCCGCCCTTCTCCCCTCACCCCCGCCCTTCTCCCCTCACCCCCGCCTTCTCCCCTCACCCCCGCCCTTCTCCCCTCACCCCCGCCCTTCTCCCCTCACCCCGCCCTTCCCCTCTCACCCCCGCCCTTCTCCCCTCACCCCCGCCCTTCTTCCCTCAACCCCGCCCTTCTCCCCTCACCCCCGCCCTTCTCCCCTCACCCCGCCCTTCTCCTCTCACCCCCGCCCTTCTCCCCTCACCCTTCTCCCCTAACCCCGCCTTCTCCCCTCACCCCGCCCTTCTCCCCTCACCCCCGCCCTTCTCCCCTCACCCCCGCCCTTCTCCCCTCACCCCGCCCTTCTCCTCTCACCCCCGCCTTCTCCCCTCACCCCCGCCCTTCTCCCCTCACCCCGCCCTTCTCCTCTCACCCCCACCCTTCTCCCCTCACCCCACCCTTCTCCCCTCACCCCGCCCTTCTCCTCTCACCCCCGCCCTTCTCCCCTCACCCCGCCCTTCTCCTCTCACCCCCGCCCTTCCCCCTCACCCCCGCCCTTCCCCCTCACCACACCCTTCTCCCCTCACCCCGCCCTTCTCCCCTCACCCCGCCCTTCTCCCCTCACCCCGCCCTTCTCCCCTCACCCCCGCCCTTGTTCTCTCACCCCCACCCTTCTCCACCCACCCACACCCTTCACCCCGTGTAGTCCGGGTGTCACTTTGAAGCCATGCCATTTTTTCACCATTACCCATTGCATGGTTCGTTATTCCTTCCATTGTAAATACGCCCAAAGCATCCCCCTCCCCACTCCCATCCCTTTTCATCATCGTCCGTCAAATCGAAAAAAAAAAGACTTGAAAATCGCATCGCTACTATAATAGGATAGGGAACAATGTAACGGTAGGGATGGAGGGGGGTGTTGGTGTTTTGTATACCCCTAGTGTTGTTTGGGCATATATCACTTTCATTGGCCACTTGGCATAAATCACTTTCATTGACATCTTGGCCTATATCACTTTCATTGGCATATTGGCATATATCACTTTCATTGGCATATTGGCATATATCACTTTCATTGGCATCTTGGGATATATCACTTTCATTGGCATCTTGGCCTATATCACTTTCATTGGCATCTTGGCATATATCACTTTCATTGGCATCTTGGCATATATCACTTTCATTGGCATCTTGGCATATATCACTTTCATTGGCATCTTGGCATATATCACTTTCATTGGCATATTGGCATATATCACTTTCATTGGCATATTGGCCTATATCACTTTCATTGGCATCTTGGCATATATCACTTTCATTGGCATCTTGGCATATATCACTTTCATTGGCATATTGGCATATATCACTTTCATTGGCATCTTGGCCTATATCACTTTTATTGGCATATATCACTTTCATTGGCATCTTGGCATGTATCACTTTCATTGGCATCTTGGCATATATCACTTTCATTGGCATATTGGCATATATCACTTTCATTGGCATCTTGGCATATATCACTTTCTTTGGCATCTTGGCCTATATCACTTTCATTGGCATATTGGCATATATCACTTTCATTGGCATATTGGCATATATCACTTTCATTGGCATATTGGCCTATATCACTTTTATTGGCATATATCACTTTCATTGGCATCTTGGCATATATCACTTTCATTGGCATCTTGGCATATATCACTTTCATTGGCATCTTGGCATATATCACTTTCATTGGCATCTTGGCATATATCACTTTCATTGGCATCTTGGCATATATCACTTTCATTGGCATATTGGCATATATCACTTTCATTGGCATATTGGCCTATATCACTTTCATTGGCATCTTGGCATATATCACTTTCATTGGCATCTTGGCATATATCACTTTCATTGGCATATTGGCATATATCACTTTCATTGGCATCTTGGCCTATATCACTTTTATTGGCATATATCACTTTCATTGGCATCTTGGCATATATCACTTTCATTGGCCACTTGGCATATATCACTTTCATTGACATCTTGGCCTATATCACTTTCATTGGCATATTGGCATATATCACTTTCATTGGCATATTGGCATATATCACTTTCATTGGCATCTTGGCATATATCACTTTCATTGGCCACTTGGCATATATAACTTTCATTGACATCTTGGCCTATATCACTTTCTTTGGCATCTTGGCCTATATCACTTTCATTGGCATCTTGGCATATATCACTTTCATTGGCATCTTGGCATATATCATTTTCATTAGCATCCTCAGTCTATATTACTTTCATTTGTAATGACCCAGGCTGGGTGGTGACCTTGGCTGGGTAATGACCTTGGCTGGGTAAAGACCACGAGAGACTATAATGACCATAATAACATGGACATCACCACAAATAATGTTACTCTAACAAAAAAAACACCCTGTAAGTTTAAGGTAACACATGTTTAAAATTGTCGAAAATGATAAAAAGAATCTAGATTTACAAGATTAAAGAGCAAGCGGAATGGGGGTGGAGAGAGATTATGTGGATTAGCTTAATCATCTTATTTCAATGATGAAAAATTTAGAACAAAATATGTTACATGCGGTGATGTCGGTTACTTCATTACGGTGGGGGTGTGGGGGGTGTTATGCTAACCTGTGGCAATAGGGGTAAGGGTGGTAAAAATTTTGGCATTATTTCCTAGATATCTTCTGCGTAGGACCCCTATTAGTCAAATTTTTACAATTTAATTTTTTTTTAAAGTTGAATTAATCTTTTTATATTTTTAATTCAATTTTATAAGGCACACTTTTTTTTAAAGTGCCACGAGTTATCTCTCTTGAAGTTGTCTATTTTCACGACACGCGCCCGCGTAGTGGGGATCTTTATCCAGGATGGGGGCTTTTTTTGGTCAATTCACCAATAAATCTCCGCCGTTCGTCTGCTTCTAATTTATACAGTACCATTCCGCGCTAGTGCTGTATCTTTGCCGGTTCGGCTAATTGCCCATTAATTGCTAATGCAGCGTAAAGCCGCCTAGAGAGGCCAGCTTATTTATGAAGTCACAGCTTGCAGCTGTGACTACTTGCTCGTAAATTTAGAAGAAAGAAATCATTGCTAGTTCTCTTCAATATTCACGCCTGCTTGCCCATGGGGAATTTATTGTTTAACGTAAGAAACCATTGTTATGTGGTGGGGGAGGGGGTGATTCGGGGAGGGGTGCAGAATCTGTTGCAGTTAATCGTATTGTCCGCTAAACTATCACGCTAAAATATGTTTATTGGAGAACTTGTAGGTTAAGTAGAAATGTTGATCTCAAAGGAAATAGTTTGTACTTTCACGTTTCTACCTACGAAAACTTTAAATAATATACTGAATATAAG